GTGGGGGGTGGGGGGGGGGGTGCCTCTGCCGTAATCCATCCAAGTTACGATGCAAAGCGTTCACACTGGTAATTTGCAGTGTTGCATACTGAGAGAGGCATTTTTACACATGCAACGCCAATGCCGCAGGTGTCAAACAATTGCCCTCAAGGAAAATGGAATTTTCCCCACATTGAGCATTGTACTGTAGACCTCTTTGCAGAAGAAGACACACCTTTTGTGATGGATTTACCGAAAGTAAAAGTTCTGTCAGATTAACAAGCAATGAAAATATATTGCCTGCAAAACAGGACTTTGCTTCAGTATTGAAGATATAATACTACATTATGTTGCTGTTATAACCTGTTACAACACAGGGTGAGTTCCCTGTGATGCATGTGCACAAGCACAGTGCTTCTCAACCCGGTTTGCAGGGACCCCAGACAGTCACCTTTTTTGCTCCTTCCCAGCTCCCTGACTCATGCCCTGTGCCTCCTGCCATAGGCTCCAGGGTCGTTGTGATTCTACACCAGTTACATGGTTATAGAGGACGGATAGATAGATTAAACACTACATCTTAAAAAATCACCAGTGTGAAGTTCACATCTGTTTATGCTCTGCTATTTTATACCTGTTTTTAATGTTGCAATATTAAAAAATTAAGTGACGAATAAAAGCACATTAAACAAATTAGTCTTTGCTCAGGTGATTCATTTCAATTGATGTCGGTGCCACAACTAACCTGACAACGACTGACATTAAAGCGACATGACAGCCCACGTCATATAAATCAGAGCTTTGTTTCATATCCAGACGATGAGTGTCACAATGGCTCAGAAAAGATCAAAGCTGTTACATTAAATGCACGTGGAAGTGATGAAAGGGAAAGCATGCATTTTAAGATTAAGGGGGAAGTACAGACATCAGGGCACTAAAAATAAGCACAGGTTCAAAATGTCGTCCCTCTACAATGAGAACACGTTTGATCAATGACTGCGGCAAAACATGCGACTTATCCTAGCATCTCACTGGAGACACGCAGGACAATGCAATCACTGCACGGCTGGTACTTCGAACCTGAAATGCACCCTGACACACCCGACTCCTCAATGGCATTTGCATCTCACCGTAAGTGCCATAAGATGTTACCAACAAGAATGTGTTTCCCCATTTCAACCACAAGCCGGCAACAAAGACGCCGCATAAAAGGGTGTGTGGGCACTGTGCTCCAAAAAGATGCAAATGTCACAGCAGGCCTGACGTGCGCCTCTGATGATCAAAGGCCACTGTTAATGGGAGAATGATCGGGCCACTGGAGGGGGCACGAGGAAACCCAGCTCGGAGTCATCAGGCAGATGGGGCGGGGACACAGGCGGGAGGCAACAAGCTCTTAACAGCAGCAATCTGAAAGCCCCGATCAGGAAGTGAAGCCCAGGACAGTCGACAGGGGCAAGCAGAATCCATTGCCCATCTGCAGGTCACCATCTGCACATCCCCATCAGCTAACATAGGCTAGCCCTGCTGCTTAGAAATGGAACTCTGATGCCAAGGCGTTAGCGTGATTTAACCACCAACTGGGAGAGATATCTGAGTCTCACATCCAAAAGAGGATCTTTAAGGGCAGGCCCCTGCCTCAAAGAGCCTTTCTGCTCGGCCTGTGGGACTTTTCTACTGGCCATCCCCGGCCAGCACTGCTGTTAGCTAACACCCAGTAGCTGGGCGCTGCGCCTTCACAGAGCTCAAGGAAAATAGAAGGAAGCTGTCATTCTTCTGTCGTCCACATTCCTCTGGGGGAGGCACTGGCTCTTCTAACCCACATCAGGGCACCTGACAGTGTCTGGCGGAGACGTGGTAGCTGCAGCAGGCCGGCCTCCAGTGAGAAGTCCATCATCCCCTTCATCCCACAGAAGAGGAGCTGCACGCCAACAAAGCTGCATCTCCAAGCCAACAAAGAGCATCTACTCCTGCAGGAGGTACTCTTTTTAAAGGCATCTCTCCTTCTAGTGGCAACGCCGAGTGCTGTGCCCTACACCCTGAGAGAAATGGGGGACCAGGTAACAAAACACAGTGTGCAGTGGAGTCCTTCCCATCGAAACCAAAGTCTCGTGGCAGCATGAGTGCTGGGAGTGCTGGAAGACCATATTAATATGGGGGCACTGAGTGTCTGCTGTGTTTGGATGCCACCAACCAGCCCCATCCAGTGCGGGGGCCGAGTCACCCGGCTACAGCGAACTCATGCTGTGCTCTGGCCGCCTCCCCCCTGCTTGACCTGCTAGAGACAGAAGGCCGTGTCCTTCCACAGGCACGCGGAGGCCACGCTCGCTGGCTGATGCTCCGCATCGTCTGTGAACTGGGAATACTGGTCGATTAAAATGCATGTTGACAGTGCATCCCTAGCAATTAATATGCGTGTGTTTGTCGACGGGGGGTGGGGGTGGGGGGTTCCATGTATAGATTACATTTGATAAAAGCCTGTTATTCCGATGTTGTGGCGACCACCTTTATAGTCCCCGCAAGGGGATACTGAATTATACAAGAATCTGCCACTGTAATCAAAAAACTAAGAGAGCCAAAAATCTTGTATTCCTCGGTGGTATTTTGAGTTTGTGGTCTCCTCGGTGGTATTTTGAGTTTGTGGTCTCCTCGGTGGTATTTTGAGTTTGTGGTCTCCTCGGTTGTATTTTGAGTTTGTGGTCTCCTCGGTTGTATTTTGAGTTTGTGGTCTCCTCGGTGGTATTTTGAGTTTGGGGTCTCCTCGGTGGTGTTTTGAGTTTGTGGTCTCCTTGGTATTTTGAGTTTGTGGTCTCCTTGATATTTTGAGTTTGTGGTCTCCTCGGTTGTATTTTGAGTTTGTGGTCTCCTTGGTATTTTGAGTTTGTGGTCTCCTTGGTGGTATTTTGAGTTTGGGGTGTCCTCAGTGGTATTTTTCATTGCATAATGCACTAAATGTTTTCAGTGGGTGACAGGTCTGGACTGTAGGCAGGCCAGTCTAGCACACAAACTATTCTACTACAGAGCCATGCTGCTGTAATGCATGCAGAATGCGGTTTTGCATCGTCTTGCTGAAATATACAAGGCCTTCTCTGAAAAAGATGTAGTCTAGGTGGCAGCATATGTTGCTCCAAAACCTGTATATATCATTCAGCATTAATGATGCCTTCCCAGATGTGAAAGCTACCCAAGCCCTGGGCAATAATGCACCCCCATACCATCGCTGGCTATTGAACTATCCAGTGATAACAAGGTGGATGGTCTTTCACTCCTTTAGTCTGGAGGGCATGGCATCCAGAATTTGAAATGTTGATTCGTCAGGCCAGAGGACGTTTTTCCGTTTTGCCTCAGTCCATCTTTAAATGAGCTTGGGTCCATAGAAGTCGGCGGCGTTTCTGGATAATGTCCAAATTTGGTTTCTTCTCTGCATTTGTGGGTGCAGTGATGAACTGTGTTCACTGACAGTGGTTTTCAGAAGTGTTCCTGAGTCCATGCAGTGATTTCCACTATAGAATCATGTCTGTTTTTAATGCAGTGCAGCCTGAAGATCACGGCTATCCAATATTGGTCTTTGGCCTTGTTCCTTGCGTACAGAGATTTCTCCGGATACTCTGAATCTTTTAATGATATTATATACCACAGATGATGATTCTCAAATTCTTTCAATATTATGTTCAGGAACATTATTCTTAAATCGTTGCACTATTTGCCTACGCAGTCCTTCACAGAGTGGTGAACCTCCAACTTGTCCAAAGTGAATCACATGCCATTCTGTCCCCACAGATGGACAGAAGGCATGATTTAGACGCAACTTCACTGAGACTCTACCTCTCTGGGAGGGTCTTTTTATACCCAATCATCTTACTGGCTTTGCTCCATTTTCAATTAAATATGCGTTTATGTGATTCACAAATCATTGCATTCTGTTTTTATTTACATTAAACTTAGAATTCCAACTTAGCATTTGACATGTAAAGTGTACAGCCCAGTAGTGTTTGTTTAGAAATTGGTAATATATAGACTTTTTGTAATAATTCAGGTTGGCGGACTGTTATGAGTTGAGGTTAGTGGTGCCCAAATATTATTTGCAAATTTTCTACCCCTAACCCTCAAAAATGCAAAGGGATGATTGCATATATATTAAACTGAAACTGACATATACCAATGGCCAATCATATATTGACTAACATCTGACTAACAGTGAGTGGTCGGGATAAGAATAGATGAAAATATGAACACAGGAAAACAAATTGTTCCTTTAAAAATTAATCACCAACAACCTGGAACGGCCCAATAATTCAAGTCGGTATTTGGTAAATGGTTGTGATTAACCTTTCTCTACAGTAGCCATTGAGAATTCTGGTATACGGCTCTTTTTTTTTTTCTTTTTCAGAAGAGGTTTAAGCATAGGACTATATCAAGATGTGTAATGAGACATCCTGCTTCCTGAAGCCCTGGCCAGCTTCTGTTAACATAATCAGGACTCCCTCAGCACTAATTTCCATTACGTGCCATATGATGCAGCACAAGTTCATATCGCATACATGATTACACATGCATCCAGGACAGCACGCGGGCCAGTCACATGTACACGCACTACACGCCAAAAGCGTTCAGTGGCATCTGCACACACCTCATGGCAAGGTCCCAAACATCTGACATGCCTGAGAGATATGGCAAGGGCAGAGACTACGTAATTTGAGCTGTTATCACACATACAAATTACCCAAGGAGAACCATGGGCATAATTACAACAAATTTCATAACCTCAATCTAGATAACAAAATGGTTGGAATGTCACAACTTCAGAGATTAAATGATGCAAACGAGCTAGATGTAGCACATTAAAATGCCCTTTAAGTTGCATAATCCACTTTCAGTGACATTTAAAGAACAAGAAGGAGCATCTGGAAGATGATCATCATGCAGCAATGCGCACATGGCTGAAACTGAGACACAGTGAGCGAAGAGGCTGTATGGAAACCGATTAGACACACTGGGGTGGGAAAGACGAGGGCGGGGTCACTTACGTCTGTGTCGGGACCCTTGTCAGCCCCAGGGCAGGAGAACGTGACAAGCTCATGGCACCGTTTGTGGACCACGAAACAGCAAACTGCAGGGAACAAGAGCCAGGGCGTTAGTGCAGCTCCCCCCACACACACACACGCATACACACACGCACATGTAGAGTAAACATATCCTTATGGGGACCGCTCATTCATTTCAATGGGAAAAATGCTAACGCTAACTATGACAACCTTAACCCCCACCCTGCCCTAACCATAACCATAAGTAACCAAACAAAATACAAGAGTTTTTGCATTTTTAGTTTTTTCATAGCAGTCACCGATTTTTATAAAATAGAGTTTTCCCTTATGGGGACCAGGAAACCGGTCCCCATAAAGGAAAAAATGGATATTTATCACGTTATGGGGACATTGTGTCCCCATAAGGATAGGTAAACCCGCTCGAACACACGCGGACGCGGACACACACAAACACACACACACACACACACACTTCCCCCAGCTGAGTACAAATTTACATTTATTTATACAGCAGAAGCTTTTATACTAAGTGACATACAATTGAGAATGCAGGGTCAGATTGTCCCTGGAGCAATCGAGGTTAAGGGCCTTGCTCAGGTGCCCACTGGTGAAATCACTCTACCAAATGTGGGATTTGAACTGGCGACCTTCCAATCACGGGCACAGAGTCCTAATCCACACACCGCCCCCCACACCGCGGACGCTCCACGACCGCGGCAGATGGAGCTGCAAGCCGCTACAGGAGTGTGTGTGCTGGGAGCAGGGTACAGCAGCCTCTCTCCACAGGCCCGGCACCACCTGGCCTGTAGATCTACTCCTCCGTACTCAGACTGTCAGGCAAAGCTAAGATTCCATGATGGTAGAACCTGTCATTCATCTGCCTGGGCCTGGCAGCCATGGTGCAAAATCCAAGCTTAATGGAGGAGACCCAAGAAATAATACTAATAAATATACAAAGCTACAGACCATCAGCATCTGAGAGCCCTCCTTCACATTTCTCACCGGTGCCTTAATTAAATCAGGCGCTCTGAGTTACCAAGGATGCTAGACGTGTCATTCTGTCCCCACAGATGGACAGAAGGCATGATTTAGACCCAAACACCTACCGGTGGACCTGCACAGACACATCTGGAACCAAGAGCACAACTAATGTGAAAATAAAATACCAGCCCCGTTCCCCTCCCTGTCAGACTCATAAATATCTCAGCGCCGCTGAGGGTCCAATAAGTCGCGCCTTCACCCGGTCTGAAAGCTGCTGGCTCGTTAATAATAATGAGTCATGAATTGGGTGTAGGCTGGGCCTGCTCCAGCCTCGCATCCACCTTATGAGTGAAGTCCCATTGGTGGCAGACTTCATCAGATAGCACCCTGGAAGAAATGGCCTCTCACAACACAGCTAATGTCACTTAACACAGCATCAACTTAACACATAGGTCTCATTCTACCCTAATATGGCCCAGAAGACGGCACAAAATGCATTCTCTGGCGAGATGGATGAACCGACTACACTGCATGTCCACATGACTGATTGCCACAATTTCTCCATTACGGAAAATCAAACGGGTAATTATATATTGGAAGCGTATATGTGGCTGGGGAGATGTTTGTCTAACCAAGCCCTGAAACTTGTCCAAAGTGAATCACATGTCAAATTAATGTAAGTGAGGAAAAAAAGCATGCTGTACGACACACTAAGCATGTGTAGCTGTCCTCTGAAATTGGTGTCTCTCAGGTCAGGTGCTGCATTTTCTCCAGGGTGTGACAGATGCACTCCACAAGGAGGAACCACACAGGCATCAACATAAGCAACAACTGGGATCAGGCGGCAACATTGGGGGTTTGTGGTAGGCAGCTGAGACATCAAACGGAAATCATTGTTATTTTACCATAATGATGTGCAATTCCCAGTAAAATTAAGCATGGCTGCTACAGTGAGGCAATCACCTCAAAAGTCCATGCCTGGCATCGATTTCATTTCTTATGTTGCACACGAGTTTAGGACAGGTGACTGAAAGCTTCCATATTCAACCCCATGCAGGGTTCTCATTTCTCAGAGGGTAAGGTGGCTCAACACATTCCTGTTACCTTAAAAAGCTGTTAGCATATGATGATAATGCTTTATTTTGACATTTCCCCTGATCTGAATTTTGCTCTACTATGAGACACACGTGAATGCAAAGCTCAGGGTATTTATCTAGCACCCCTGAAGCAGTGATCAGAGTTAGAGGCCTCATTCAATAATCACTCTCCTGGCCACGGGATGTGAACCAGCAACATTTAGATCAGGGGTGGCCAATCTTATCTGCAAAGGGCCGGTGTGTATGCAGGTTTTTGGGGTAACCTTTAAGTCAGCTCTTCAAGCCCAGGTGTGAGGACTCTTCAGCCAATCAGTCCTCTAATTAGTGACCTAATTAGGGAGTTGCAGCGAAAACCTGCATTGGTCTTAACCTGAAGAGCCACAAACTGCCCTGATATCATATCATGTCATATCATATCACATAGTGTACAAAACGGGAGAATCTATGTGCATTCCTGCTAGACGTGTAACCATGGAAATCATTTACTGTCAAAAAAAATCCAATAATAGCCATCAGCTGCAGTCAGAGCTGCTGGTCTAGCACCTATCCGAAATGGAGCACAAAAAAAAAAACAACACACAACTCACTGGGCATTGCTGCCACAACCATCTGAACGTTACCTTGGGTTTTCAATGCAGCCAGAGATGCAGTGAGCAGTTTAGCATTAAGTCGCATTACAGTTTAGCATGCAACATAACGCGCCCTGAGTATGTGAGCGTGCAGTCGTGCCCAGGGGAGATCTGGTACAGGGCATACCAGCCAGCAAGCTCCCGCTAAGCAGATGAACAGCGCAAGGCGACGGCTGGTTTCATTCTGCGCCTGACCTGGACCCCAGACAGAGGAGCGAGGCGCAGGGCAGCAGCTGGCTGGGTGGCTTAGCAGAGCTGCTGTTATGCAAAGAGAATTAGCACCTTTAAAGGAGAGGTGCTCAAATGTCAGGGTGACTTTTAATGGGCAGGGATGAGTGGCATGTCTCACCATGACCTTATCATCATTTCACTTTCAGGGCAGAATAAATTATGTAGAGGCAACAATGTAGTGCGGCTTTTTAGATCAATACCTATTAAATCCAGTGATCCCTCTGGCACGGAGGGGGGATTTTCTCCTGGGCCCTTTATCTGCCACGTAATATGGTGATTGGTCCCCCTCTCACACAAAGGGCCACATGTGGGCGGGCAGGACTCAGCTGCCGATCGTTAACGCCACACCCAACAGAAGTGGCACACCGGTACGGGTGTTGGTTCGACCGTGGCTGCCTATCAATGCGCCCCGCTCAGCCGGCAGGGTCCTGTAATGCGTGTGAAGGGGGGGCCTTCACGGCAAGAAGATACAAAGGCCACCTCTGACAAAAACCCGGCTCAGTGAGGTACCAGAACGGTTCGATCCGCTTCTGTGGCACTTAAATGGGAGAAGTCTGGGGAACAATGAGGCTATGGCTCATAGCTGGCGGCACGAATGGGGAAATCATTACAGGGTTGACGCGGTCCAGAAATCGAATAAACCAGTATGAAATCCTGCAGCCCAGATTTATGGATGAAACCTTCAGACTAGGTTTAGAAGAATACATTTAAGCTTCTCTGTATAACAAGCATGAGATCATCTGGTGATTACGAAAAATGTCAGGGAACTTTGTTAGAGGGCTTTTATGTAGTGGGGCACTGGGATAAAAACAGGTTGCTCTTCCAATTATCTGTCATTTTCAATCCGAATGGTAATGCAGATACTGCAAAAATAGCAGTGGTAGGCTAAACGAGAGCAGTGAACATCTCACTTGGATAAGCATTTTGCAAAGAGATGGGGGCAGTTAAGTAGTTCACATCCCCCCATACCCGACACTCTTTCAGCTTAGATAATAAAAATGTCTTATCAGTCAATGTTTAATAATTAACTTGTTAATCTAAACACCCGACTTAATTTCTCGGCAGTGAATATTTTATCTGTGCACAACATCAGCTTTCGACAGTGTAACTCCAATCAGCCAAGAAGCTTTTGGTTCCTTTAAAAAAGTTAAAAGAAACCTGCCCCCAAATGTAGCCCAAGATGGCGCTGGATTATAGAATACCTTGGAAGGCAATGTGCAAAGCTTTTATTCTGAGATGATTATCTGATATCTCACCCATGAGATAATTAGTGATGCTTTGTTCGGGCTGGGTGTCTGGCCCTCTACAAGCCACTACCGCGTCGTTGACAGGACCTACGACGGCCTGCGAGGAACAGATAGTGGAATCCAAACGGTGTGGCTTAGCTTTCCACCCACAAAGTGTGTCCTAATGGCGTACAGCAAGCGTTAAGTGCCCAGGCTGCATTCGCAATCACATGGGACCAGAGAGAGGCAAGAGAGGCAATCTGAGGGTGGCAAACATGAGGAATTTGTAGGGCGACAAACAGACCTAAACATGAATCACACTCAAGAAGGAAACAAGGGAGCGAGGAGAGTGATGACCAACCCAAGCTGTCTCACAGACAACAAGCACTGCAGGAGCTGGTCTGATGGAGCAGACGTTTGCCAACTTGGGCCAGCTGCAGCAGACCAGAGCCTCTGATTCACTGCGCGAATGAGACTGCGGTGGTTTTGGGCCAATGGTACCACAGGATGGGGGTCTGTGACACTTAAGCATCCCAGGACTGGGACCCACTGCAATTCACCATTATTGACATAATGATACTCAAACCGACAGCAATGTGGATGTCAATAAAAAAGGATGAGCAGCTCAGAGGAGCCAACCTCCTGCTGTCATCGATCATTAATGATCTCAGGGCAAACCGAGACCCTTTCTCTTCCAAAAGAAGGCCTCTGACACGGTATCTATCTCATGGGTACATATGGAGAAGCTCTCTGGGATGATAGGTGGAGACATTTTACATTCCATTTACTGTATTTTTATTTAACTTCACTATTTTTAATTCCATTCTTTTAACTCGTTTGTTATACAGTACAGAGAAAGTCTCGGCACGCTTGCTTCAATCTGTAAAAATGTTGCAAATAT